GGACTTACACCACAATTGACAGATATTGGTTCTCTGCGTTTGCGCAATGCTCAAAAGTGCTACAGACTGGTTGGGATATTGCTTCAAGTCCCTCCATATAGACGTTTGAGGGTCCCAGGGCAGGGAAGCTCGCCCCCACTGGCGTCGATTGCTCCGCGTCCGTCTCTACGACTGAAAATGCCGCCGGCCAGCCATAGGGCGCGAGGGTGGGTGCGTTAGCAGCCATATGGGAGTCGGCCGGGCGGTTCCGTCTCACAGCCGCCGTGAGAACGGCCACCCGCCCTGCCCCCCTTCCGGCCGGCGGTGCTTCCCTCCGCAGACAAAGAACGCGGCGCGGCCTCTCCACGCCGCAACGCGGTCTTCTATACAACTCCCACGTTATTTCAGATTTTTATCAAAATAATATTAGAAGTTATTCGACTAAATGGCCCAACTAGCTGCGTACATAGGCATGCAGGTCATAGCACGTGAAGCCAGTTCCTTGCAGATGGCTGTCCCTTGCTGAGTAGAAACGACGTAGAAACGTAGTGTAAACTGAGTAGAGACGTAAAATTGCGAGTGTGTGTGTGTGTGTGTGTGTGTGTGTGTGTTGGGGGGGGGCGTAGGTTGTGGCTTGACAGCGCTTGTTTGGGAAGGTCGTACTCCCTTTGTACCCAGGAGGGGGAAGTTACGTGCGTAAAGTGCGGACGAGTTACTTTTGTGGATGCGTATGACCGGTGTCTCAAGAGTCGTTTAATTCAGAGTAGAATTAGAATGAAAACATTACTTACAACGGTCGTACTTTCCTTCCCTTGTCCTTCCGTTATTACGCACTAATTAATTCAATACGATCCAATTTAAGATATAGACAACCATGTTCTACTTGCTGTAACTCGAAATTGTGATGCAGTACTGAGTTTTGTCTATTGAAATCACAGTTCTCTCATAGAGTTTCTCACTTAGGACAAACATGTGTAAATCTTGTTTTGTTTTTTCGTCAGTGATATAACTATGCGGTTCACGTATCAACAACGTTAATCACAATATACTGTCGAGATTATTACCTCCATTTTTAAAAAGTTTGTGAAAAAGCTATAGAAATGTTACTGCTACAAAAAATTCCTGTCTGGGCCTCAGCCAGCATATGAAGTATCCACAAAATTCAGATTTTCCAAAATAAATTCCTCCGAACCATTACAAAAGCTCCCTGATTTTTACCTACCTCTCAATTACATTACGAACTCGGCATGACTTCGATTTCCATCCATTTCTCCCTCCTATCCACTAGCTTCTATCTTAAAATACCCTTGATTCCCTCAGACGTACGTTTCAAAACCGGAAAACAAAATCCTCACCACAACACACTAAAATGGGAACTACAGCGACAGTCCTTCGACCCCCCCCCCCATCATTATGCATGCAATATGGCTTTGCACATTCAATGCACGTACTCAATGTATTCATCTGTGAATATTGTTCTTTAAACAAGGCTAATATAATAAATTATCCCCGTAAGTATCGTACTTCGGGCCAAGCAGAAATAAACAAAAAAAGAGAAAAAAATGTTAGTGGTATACTGAGACTGAACATATTTGTGAGTTTTTCTGTATAATTTTGAGAGTGAAAACCAGCCACATTCGGTTTGCTATCTTTGAATGCCGCCATGCCATGAACTTCCCGTTCGGTTACTGACGTATCACAGTAGTGGCGGGTGTGACACGTGTCATCTTAGCAATCGCTTTGTAATTAATGCGTGACCTAGATTAGCACATGGGGCACTGTTACGAGAATTTTTATCATGTCCATTGTAGTGCTGTCCTCCTCGTTTAATATCTTTGCATTAAAGATGTCTTCCATTGGTACTTTCTTGATCTACCCCAGTCTTCGAATTTCCCTATTGTTTTCAACGCGGGACCCACGCACTCACTTAGTTGCCGAGAAAACAGGTACGAGATGAAGGTATGGTTACTATTTTCACGTATGGGTTACACGGAAGTTTCTTGTGTAATTTCTTTGAGAGAGATCAAAAAACGAAGTAACTTTTGTCACACACTAAGAAATTGTAACGAAGTAGAGAAATATGAACTGTATTTTATTATATACAAATAGCAGTTGTTTTCTCTAAGTTATAATAATAATAATGATAATAGTAATAATAATACTAATGATGATAATGATAATAATAATAATAATAATAATAATAATAATAATAATAATAATAATAATAATAATACAGCGCGCCAGGAAAACCTCTCCGCAGACACACCTTGTTCATGAAGAGTTATATATACTACCGACATGTTGATAGCATGAGCTGCAGCAAAAATGTGAATTGCCTACTCCCCCCAAACTGAACAGATGCTGGGAGTATTATTCCTTTCACTTGTTTCACAGTGATCTGCTTGCTAAAAACATGAGTGCAATTTTTAATAAGAGGCTCTATGAGGCATTTGTGTTAGTGAGGAGAGACTTTCCTTGCGCACTACAGTTATAAGTACCTGAGATTGCAACCTTTTAATATGGAATATTTCAGAAAATCTTGTCTAAAAGGGAAGTAGGGTAACATTTATAATTTCTTTCATGCATCATACTCATTTCAGTCATCAGAATTAACAATAGGTGGAAATAAATGGGTATGGTTGTACAGTATCCTATATACTCGTGGTATTCTACAGACAATTGTGTAACAGACTTCAAACTCTTACACCCGCAGTTAATAATTATGTCGTAACATAAATCAAAATGTTATGTATTGCATTACTGGGTTAATCTAATTCAAAATATTCATATTCATTCATTCGTTCATTCAGTAATATTTACGCCAGGCAATCTCCAATTTTCGTAAAATTCTTGAATAATTATTATTATTGATATTATTTTATTAGTTAATATTATCTTATTAATTTAAGTATCATCATGTTTATAGGTAATATTCACGGCTTTTTATAACCATATACCACAAAGATATCTGGAAGTGTCGAATAGAAAACATTCTGAAAAGGAAAGGAAATTTAGGATATTTCCACAAAACTGGTTTTGGAACTTCGAAGCACAGCGAAAAGGTGGAAGGTGAAAAATTTAGATATGAAATAAAATTCTAGTGGTATTGGTTATTTGTCCAGCAATAAAAAGCCTTGCATTGATTAATTTCATGAGAAATTAACAACCATTAGAAAACGCCTGGACAAGATAACCCGCATTTGAGACATCCAACGTCATCTTACAATATCGTCCCCCATGATCATAACGATCCAAACACTATTATGATGTGCTCGTAGAACTGTAATAAGTGTGTAGAAAACATTAAGTAATGTAAACGAAATTTGAAAAATACTTTTATGTACAAAACTTTCGTCTATAATATTTACCGAATGAAGGTTGCCGGAATTCCTCCAGTTATTGAATTATTTTTGTGGATCCCTTTCAATTCTTTTTGTTTCATTGCTCTGTATATTCGAACTTACCTTGGGTTCTCCTCGCACCGGACTTGAAATTGCTCCCGGAGCGTCTAGCCGCCCTCGGGGGCAGGTGGCGCAAGCGCGAGCCTCACCCCTCCCGCGCCCCTCGCACTTTCGCGCGCCTTGCACGCCACCTGCCCCGCTTTCGGGCAACCCGTTGGAACAGGGAGCCAACAGTTTATTATTATTGGTTTTTTCTTTGTTAGAAACGCCGGGTCGGTTTCCGGAGTTTAAGGTGATTAGTTGTCACCGGCTGTATCATGTGCGAAGGTTGTTAATTGTGTCGACATATGCTTTTTACTCCCCCCTTCCCCTCCACACACACTTTTCTGCGGCGTGTATTTCTTCGTAGGTGGGTCATTTCTTATCCTAGTTGAAATAATAACTCCTTATCATTTACCTAATGTATTGCAAGACTTCCGGCTTCTCGTTTGTACAGAGAAACCAAAATTTTCCGTTCTCTGCCTATTTTCAAATATTGTATGAATTTCTACTTCACTACGATTCCTAGAAACATTCAACTGAACTATACATGACCTCTTGATTGCACGTATACTTAGTACATACAGATTAAGAAGTTGTCGCTCTTATGTTAACCTTTTTTTTTATCTTGGGGATAATAAGTCTCGTATATAAAAATGTACGTGTAATATTTGGAATTTGAGACAAAACGTGGGGCTAGGTAGCGGGTTGCTTGCGTTTGAGAGCATTAGAACAGCACTCCTTCCCTGGGTGATATATTATTTTGATATTCTTTAGCAAAATGAAGATAATCTGCATATGATTTAATTTGCCACACATGAGTTTAACTCCAAACCGTATGTACGTGAAAGCATGTGATTAAATGCGGTTTCAATTTCTTCAAAATTTCCATTCAGGTGCCTCACTGTTTTTTCGAAATTTACGAAAAGTAAACATTTCCAACCTACACAATTGAAAATAAAAATGCTTAAACCAAATGTTTTAAAAATTTAGCTCGTTAAAAAGGGTCATGTTCAATTTTGAATTTAAAAAAATGCTGGTTTTTGTCTAATTTGTGCTTGAAAGTTATGGAATATGTAAAAACATTCTCAAAAACCGGTCCAGATATTTTCACAGGTAAAACAAACATTTAATGGAATGTCGTAAGTCGAATTTGTGTTAAACTCTCCGTATTTCTGAAAATTGCAAAAACTGAACATTTGGAAAGTAAAAAAACAGAAGATAGAGATTTTTGCCTTAAACAAAATATCTTCTTAAAAAATCAGCCCATTAAAAAAATGCAATGACCATTTTTTGGGGAAAAAAATTTAGCGAAATTTCTTCTAGAATTAATGTAATATATACAGATGTCCCACCAACTTCAGGCCACTAGAAAAATCCGTGGGGAACAGGAATGGATCGAAAGGATATGAAAAATAAGTAATTTAATTTTAATTCTAATTACAATTGAAAATCCCAATATTAATATTCTACATTGTGTATTCTCATTGCATTGATGCATTTTCTTTCAAGCACTCCACAAAACATGTTTGAAATCAACCCAATTACGTTTCTCTTTAAAATATTATTTAAAAGTAATATGAATGAATAATTGAAAAAAAATTGAGTACCGTAATTTCGTATTAACTTTTCTTACTATTGTATATTACCACTATATGCTGCATTGGCCAACAATGCTGCGATGGATATTTGAAAAGTTCGTTGTTGAACGGTGTCGTGATGGGAAAGATTAGATTATGTTTTATTTACTTAAAGTTGCCTTCAATAAAATAATATATTCAAGTTGAGGGAAATGGATTAATACGTAATATGCTTAAGGCTATAATAATATGGTCGTTTCGAAAGCATTCATAATGCGATGTATTGGATGGCCTTAAGTTCTGGATGTTCAATTTATATTTGAAATTATCCTTGCTTGCCTGTATGATATACTGGAAGTAATGCGAGAAAGTATGTGCTATTTAGCACTCGTTTCGGATTATTCTGCTTTCGTTTTCTACTGTACAGTGTGAACAGTTCAAGTAGTGAAAAACATTCATAATGTTAGTGAAAATAAGGAATTGTAATGATAGTCATCGTAGGACGAAAGCAGTTTGATCTCCGCAGTTGGTAAGCCACGGCCGGCCGCCTCAGCACACGCCCCATGCTGGGAGCCGAGCCGAGCGGGACCCGACCCGGCCGCACTTGCCCGACGAGCAAGCCGTGGGCGGCGGCCTGGGTTGGGGAGGGGGCGGCCGACAGCGCGGCCTGCTGCTGCTGAGTCACTGGCGCGGGCGGCGTTGCCACGTCGCAGTTCCTGGATCTCACCGCAACGTCCCGCTCGCTGACGTCCATGCTGTGTTGTACTAGATGTGCTAGGTCTTCATTTGGCTCTAGGGGGATGTATTTACTGTCTCTGTATGGTTTAGAAAATACAACTTAGTTACTGAATTGTATTTTCTTCTGTATAATGTTTAGTTTTACCATATTGCTTCCTACAGAATTATCAAGTCGATTTTTATTTCCATTAATATTTTGAGTGTGACGTGGTAGAGAAATAATGCAAATTATACTATACTATAAGGTAACCAATCGCCCTCGTTTTATAGGTCTTGTCCTCTTGTTCGATATTTTAAAACTAATCTGATAATCTGTATCAAGGAATGCCGCGCCGTGTTCTTACGCGTCCGCGTACAGTTCGGGAAGACGATTAGGTTGTTAGATCGGCGGGATTCCGCCCATTTTCAGCGGATTTTCTACTCGTATTGCGAAACAAAAAAAATTCGCAGGCAGCGGAAAAAAAACTGGAAAATAATTGAGATGGAGGAAAATAAGTGGAATACTTTTTTATTTAAATAATTAAAAGGGTTAGGCGCTGGTACATGGACATAGTGTATTTTTGTTTTAATTAATAAAATGTTACATTTATGTATGTTGAAATTGTTCACCGTAATAGGACAGAAAGGCATTGGATACTTCCGTTACGTCAGTATTCATCATATTTGTTTATTAAGTCATGTTACATACGCTTAAAATCGAGCGGATTAGATCCTATCACGTCTAACAGAGCCCAGGGCACGTGCTTAAGCACGTCCATTAAGCTTCGCCTTGTTCAAGTTTTCGAGTCATTGCGTGCTTTTCGTTAACAAACGAGTAGTTTAACGTAGTTTCTCTCGAGGCAGTGCATCTGACTGTTTTTTCGTTAATTTAGCGTTACAGCTTTCCCCCCTTTCCTTTCTGTTGTTAGGTTTTTGTGTGCGTGGAGCCGTTTTAGAAACAGCGTAATTACGCTCCAGGAAAAGTTAGAGGGCAGAGCCCTTGCAGGGCTTCTGCGCGCCTTTGATCTCCCACGAGAAGAGGCAAAAAGGCGCGATAGTACATTTCAGGTTTTAAAGCACAGCGCAGAGGGCGATCTTGTTACGTATTTATTTGCTGGAATTTCCCAGTAGGTGGCGTACAAGACGAAGGTGCTGCGACAACTAGGCAGGGTTTGGATAGTTTTTTTCCACAAGAACATTTTCTGTTCAGGAAACAAACTTACCTGTTCCCGAGAGTAGTTATTATAAATGTTCGTCGTAAGCAAATTCTACGGATTCACATTTCCTGTAAGTTCACATTAAAATCCCTCCTTTGAGAGCCGAATAAACTATTTTCGTCAACACGTATTGAGGCATGCCCCCCTGCCAGAATAACGGATGACGTGTTCGTTGTGCGAGGCTCATTGTAAACAAAACCCATTTTGCGTCGCTACATTGTATTCGTAAGTTCCTGATCGGTGGCTGATACCGAAATAGGATTTTTATTTCATTGTCACTTGAATGGATTCGTTGAATATGGCAACACTGTGCTGGAACCCCTCGCAAAACTGCGTCTGCCCCGCAAGCCCAGCTCTCGTTATTCAGTTCCTTTTTTATTTTATTTTTTCCCTTGTCGGTCGGTGGGTTGGTTCGGGCAGCCCTCTCCCCTCTGACGATCTCCCTTGTGTGCTCCGCTTCCAGCCTGAACCCCCCCACCTCCATTCCCTAGGCCGCGGCGCGCGCTCCGATTGGTCCTCACGCTCTGCCAATAGCGGTTAAGGCCGAACCGAGCGACGGTCGGCAGGCCTCGGGCGTGTGCCCACAATAAAATCCCCCCCCCTCCACGCCGCTGACGTCATTGCTAGTATGGCAACGTCGCACGACCCGAGAGCCAGTATTGATTTTTCCCTTTTCAAACTAATATATATATAATAAAATTTCCGGACGATGAAACATCTTCATTTGAGGACAAATCAGAACTAATTAAACTTACCGTTGTGTACGATTAATCCTCAGTTTCATATCTGAAAGAGAAAATATGTGAAGGGCACACGCAGGATGTGAAAGCAAACTGTTTTCGTAGCAGTAAATCCATCCAACAGCAGAAATAGTCACTGCAGTCTGGGATGGATGCGAGAGAGCTGACGGCCACTTGAAGCGCATGCTATTCCACTGGAGCTGTCACAGCCGAAACACGCGGACGGCACTTGGCCAGCCCCATCGCAGACGCGGTGCTTTTATTGTGTAACGGTTGCATGTGAAACGCAGTTGCCTCGCGGCGGACACTCGTTCTCACGGACGCTCTCGAGAGCAGAAGCCCCGTGGCCTCTGTCGCGGACACTAGGGGTGACGCCGCCATCTTGTGCAAGCGCAGCCGCTCACGGCATAAGTATGTGTCGTTTGTTCGTGTGAGAGGATTGCACGCACAGAAGGCTTTCGCGCTGGGAGGAGGCAGGGTTGGCTGGCTGGCTGGCCGACCGGCCAGGAGTGAACGCCGTCTACGGCGCGGGAGGGTGGGCTCTGGTCTGGCGGTGGCTGCGTCGAGGGGGACGGGCTCCGCTCAGACTCGCTCTCTCCTTTGTGAGCATGCGCGGCGCGCCGACCAATGGCGCGTGGCGACGGGCGTCGCGTAGGCAGCCGGTTGCCGTAATGGCTGCATGCGGCGCGGCGCAGCACAGCGCAGGCCCTGCCGGTCGGTGTACAAGCGAAGCGTGGCCGTGGGAGGAAAACCCAGGGAAGGGAAAACTGAACTGGAATGAGAAAAACGAGGAAGAAAAAAATTAGCTGTATTTATTTCTCTCGTCGTTGGGCGCTTTTGGTCCTTTACGACCGGGACAAAACATAAATAATTTTTTTTGCATACGATCTATTTTGCCTCGATTTTTTTTTACTGCATGAATTCCAGGTATGCAGTGTGTATGGATTAGCTGGTTGGAGAACGAACGGTCGCAAATTGCGGTATTTCGTAGTTGGAATTTTCGTTAACTTGTTGCATGTTTATTTCCCAAATCGAAGATTAGTGTTGGCATTTATTCCACTTTGACAAATGAAGTATGTGCTCCTGCGTGAATAATTTTACTGCAAAGACATTCGTTCGTATATTTTTTTAATTTTTTGAAATTAAGGGATGAAGGTGTTCCATTCCTAGTCTTGTAATACGCCGAGTAAATATCGTTTGTAGTAGTGTAATTGATTTAGTGGTGCAGTACTTTACGAGTACTGCTGTGCGTTTCGTGAAAAATTATTTTTGTCCATTTGTGACTTAAATGTACAACTTCTTGCAAATGTTTGGTATCAACGAATTTAAACTCTGAATTTGTGTGATCCAAAGTGCCATTCTATTCTTTCAAATAGTACACTGAACACTGCCTTTTCAGTGCACGCACACTTGAGTATAAAGAGGCGGGGGAGGCGTGGCAGTCGGTTTACAGCTTGTCATTCAAAAATTGAGTTAGATTTCACTTTCAGACTATTGAACATGCCTAAAATTATGATAATTTACGAAAACATTTACGTTAATGGTATTTGAAAGCTGTCAGTAAACCTAGAACTGATAACAACAAATTTTTCATTGCATTTTTTTTACTGGTATTTAGCAGAAAGGTTTTTGTTTAGGAAGGTGAATGTTGCCTACGCATGAGCGAACACAAGGGAACGGGTACGGGCTGAAGCAGCTGGCAGCAAGACGTTTCATTCCCTCCCGGGACGATCTCGTTTCGTCCCAGCTGTCGACAAACAGCGAAGATGCGTCTGTCTGGGCGGCGAGTAATCCAGATTGTTTTTCAGGCGCAACGGGTATCAGGGTGCGTTTGTAGTCGCGAGGCCGGGCGGCGGGGCGGGGCGGGGTCCCCAGAAGAGGGTGTGCCTGGAAGGGCCGTGGGGCGGAGGGCACTGAGGGCGCGGTGGCCGTCGTGAGCGCCTCGGAGGATGGCGATGCGCCTTGACGCGTGCGCGAATATGTCACGTGCGCTGTGCGTCGCGCTGCTTCAGAGAGATGATTCGAGTGTCGCGTTCTGGCAGGTACTGCTATTCACTTTTTTAAAAAATAATTCCACTACAGTAGTGTTAGGCTCATTTGTATAACGATTTACAAATTGAGTTGAGAAGTTTTTGTTTTCTTTGGCTAGTAAAAACATTTTTTAGACATCCACTAGTGTAAGCGGTTCTTTTAGGGCATGCATAGCGTGCCCTAAAAGTGGACGCTGCATAGCGTGCCCTAAAAGTGGACGCGGTAAAAGTTCAATTTTTAGCACTATAACTGAAATAGATGTGTCGGTCACGTGTTCAGATAAACCTGTGTATGCAATTAAATAAACAAAATACCTTCCTGTGACCGCATCAACTATTGTCGATCTTACTGTACAATTAAGTGATTTGTATTCGTAAATTAAAATGAAATGTAAGGCTGTGAAAATAGTGTATGATACACGCGTTGAAATTGATTTTATCTTGCTCGTAGGATTTCGCAACACGGCCTGTCGGCCTCCTACTCTGAAACGGTTCCTACTCGAAAAATAAAATGTCACTTTTACCACCGGTATTATAAAAGAACTGTTATTGTTGACACTATGTATTGCTAATTGGGTTTGTGAATTTTAGTCAGCGCATAATGTATATTTGATAAGGGCTTCAATAGGTACTTTGATGACTGTGCTATCCTACCTGTAGCGCCCTTTCTGAAACGTGTTCGCGGATGAGCTGGGTATTTTCTCTTGTTAAATAGTGACTAGCATTTCCTAAGATTCCTATGCCAAGTCTCCGTATAGATATAATATAAACACATAATAAATTGATATATAGAGATAGATAATATGTAAGCAGACATAATGTCTATATTTTTACTTGTAGTAAAGCAATTTTTTCCCTTCAAACTGCATTCCAAAGATATTTTAACTGTTGATCTTGCATGGTAATTGACATACGAGTCTGATTTCCTTCGGCACAGTAGTTCATGAATGATTTCATTAGCTTTGCAATTTTCAGATTTCCCAGCCAACTTGCAGTGTGATGAATGTATTGAACTTGCAGATGACTCCTCCGAGGATGGTTGTTTCAATGTGTGGCAATACACCAGTATGTTGATTTCATCAAACATACTGTCAACTTATTGTTTCATTTAGGTTTAGCCTGTTTTCGTGAATATTGCGGACCATTTGAAGCCTACAATGTTATTTATGCAATCTTATATTTCTATTTGTATTTATTTTAGCGAACAAATGTCCTGCACTTATGCTGGAATATTTCTCAAGACATTAATTTTATTTCTATTTCAATATACATTCCTTGTTGCAGTACATGTTTTGTATCTCCTATTAATAACTAGTCCTAGTAGAAATCCTAGTAGAAATGATCCTGGCATCAGTGAATCTGTAATCATTTTAAAGCATGTTAAGCATGTTGTCAAGCATTTTAAACATGAAAATGTTTCTATAAGGTGTCGTTGAGTGTTTCCTGTGAAAATGAAATTTGCAACTTGCTGTGTTCAATCCATTTCTGCCAGTTTTTTAATATTTATTTGTATTGCTCAAATGCTTTGGGTGAGAGTATTGAACTGAATAGACACAAACCACATCATTCGCCACGAAGCGTTAGGTCATGTTTCAGTTATGTCGGGGGTCTTGTTTTGAAATATTTTATTTCAAGATCGACACTATCCCAAAACTAGTTTCTCAGGAGAATTTAAAAATTTGAAGCGAACTTTGATTTGTGAGATTAGCAACTAATTAACATAAGGTGATACGAATTTAGTATTCGGCAAAACATAATTTCATGTCTACAAAAATGGATGTTTTGGGATATGTTGTTCTTGCAGTAAACGTACAATCTGTCATTGAGTATATGATAGAGATGCCACGTATCAATTAAGGAGGCCATACATCAGAAAGCGCGACTCGCGAGTCCCATGTGGTGCTCATTACCAGTTTGTAAATGTCACTCCATACGAGTTCCATTGATCACAACCAGCATCAGGTATGTCAGCTATCAAGAAGGATTTGCACTCGCGCTTCCTGGGGTATTGGTCGCTTTGAAATGCCTCATTCTCAGGCAAGCCAGGCTGGTCGCTGCTTGTATAACAGTCGCGTTCATTTGAATGATCGACGTATGTGCTTGAATGAACTGTGGGCCCACTGTAACCTTGACTTCCAGTAAGGTACCGGTGGGCCCACCGTTGGCTTGACGGCTGGCCATCTCTGCTTGGTTGAATGGTGGGCGTGGCCTTGTGGGCTAGGCACAGTGTACTTCTCGTTGGGAGTGCGAGCCGTAGTCATGACGGTGAGACAGTCTTGCACCCCCGCCTGACGAAAGGGTTTGCTCGTTGCAGCTATGGCCGCGTGCAGAGCGTCAAGCTCCTGCCCAGGAGCCTCAAGGACGATGACGGGTCGACGGGGCTGTGCGCCACCGTCGCCTTCATGGACATCAAGTCGGCGGCCAAGGCGCACAACATGGAGCACAAGCTGGACGAGCGGAGCACGGAATACTACGAGCCGCACCCCGCGCCATCTCCGGCTCCGCCGCTGCCGCTGCGCGCGCGCCGCGCTGCCCGCGCCGCCGCGCCGGCGGCGCGCGCGCCGCGCCGCTCGCGTACGTCGCTTCCTCGCGCTTCCCCCACGGGTAAGTGATCCCCCGCCCCCGCCCACCAAGTGGGGAACGAGAAGATGCGACGACACAGGAATACCCCCTGGTTGTGTGTTTTTCTCCCTTCGGGGCACCTTCACTTCCTCTTCAGGTCATGGTATATGTGCTGTGTATTGCCCTTTGGATCTCTTATAGGACTTAACCCGTTCTCCTATTTACATTATTTTTTTAACTTGCTCATTACCATGTTCCTTCCCTGGGTAATATTGAGCTACAGTCATGAATGACGTCAATAAGTATATCCTTCACAATCCTTGTAGGTATGCCTAAAACAGGTATTTCACTAGATACTTCCAGTCTTTTTAAATTAAGCCTTTGGACTTTTTTTCAGAATTTTTTCATTTTTAATTCACATTTAATTAATTTTGATTTGAGATCTGATCGGTGTATACCCCTGCGCAAATTTTTTTTCATCCAGTTTTTGTATTGGATGTTTTTGAGGGGAAAAAATAAATGGCACTCCCTTCAACTGTAGTATTAGCCTAAACGCTAGAGAGAGAGAGAGAGAGAGAGAGAAAAAAAAAAGCAAATATTATTTCTGAAATCTCGTGCCAGCCTTCAGTACGTGAGAAGTGTTTTGCAAGGCTTTTGACATCCCTCTCCCAGTTAACTACCATCGACGGGCACACAAGAAACAGTTCATGGATCCTAATCTGCTTGTGTCGAGGTGCAGCGCCTGTTTACTGTCGTGTGAAGCGCACTGCAGTCTGCGCTGTATGTGTTTCGCGATGTGGTGCCTTGTGAAATGTGCAATTTGCATTTGGCGTTTGCTGCCCCGCCCGCGCCACCCGCGCCGCGCCGCGCCGCGCCACGTGCGCTACAGTGCTTCAGTGGTTGCCCTACGCGAGTGCGGTTGTGCTGTGAGGTGCCTTTGGAATACCGCCACCTGCTGCTACCACTACTTCTACTACTCTGCTACTACTGCGCGTGTGCCCGGCCCAGGATTACGCCTCCAGTGCTACCACCTGCTACCTGCCAACCAGTGCTCTGTGCCGTGTGTTTTTGGTGGCGTTGTGTGGTGCTCTTGTGGTGCGAGTTTTTCCGTTTTATATTTCTGTCGCCCTCCCTCCTTCCGCCGGGGATCCGCCACGCGGTCGCCCGCAGGTATTTGTCACATCTCCAGTTTTGGTTGCAGACGTTTCCACCGCAGCCAAGGTTAGTCCGCATTTTGATTTTTTTCTCTTTCCCACTTCCCTCTTTGTGCCACTGCCCATTCGTGACGAACCAAGCCGCAGCAGTTTTCTAGCGCTCTTGTGTTCTACTCACGAGTGATTGGCCAGAGAGTGGCAGTTTTTGTTTTTTGCATGTTAACGTTTTTAACGAACAGTGCTGTGCTGTTTTACGTGGGATAATTCGTGGGGTTTGTCTGGATGTTCATGGTATCCAGCGAATGGCCAGACTGCGTTTATCTCGTTTTCGAAAACCCAGATATTCATACATTGATATACGCACCTCCTGTAATACAACACTATTTTATTTTCATTTTGTTCCCTCCTTTTCAGGTGTATATTCCATGCCCTACCTTTTAGTATGTTTCGAGTGATGATCTTGTGAAAGCGGTATTTAGGCTTCCGACAGCGACTGACTTTAACACGACTGGCTTTTTGAATGTCTTACACTGTTTTCAACGTACGTACCGCAAAATCTATTCACGTACAGGAGAACAAAATGAACAAAACTTAAAAAGCAGGTAACTAGCCGTTTGTTAATAAATACTTGATGGTTAACGTAGTGATACTTGGGTAATCTTTAATTTAAAACTTCCGATTTTTCTCTTGATGTGATGCACCTGCCCCAACTATGGTGGCTTACATCAACACAAAAGACGTGAGACAAGAAAACGCTGTGTGGAATAGTTTCTTCAATACGCACACTTGTCTCCGGAGTTTTAACACTAAGTGCTTATTTACTCTTTTTTTGTGAAGATATTACTAGATTTGTGGGTAATTCCTGTGATTAGATGAATTTAATAAGTAAAAAAATGCATTTGGGCATTCGAAACACATTCAAATTACTGCTAATTACTTATTTACTAGTCTTTTGTTCAATATCTTATTTAACACTATCACGCGTTTAATAGTTGCAATATTAATTTGAATGTACGTGATAAATTAGTTAGTAAGCCAAACTGTTCTTTTTAGGAACAAAAGGCGTTCATGGAATTCTATCAACTGGATGCAGCGAATCGTTTGCATTTTTTATGTTTTTGAATTGTTATTTGTAATTTTTAAACTGCATGTAATAAGTTCGAGGTTATCTGCAAATTTTAAAATATTCTGTTATCCCTCCCATTTGCTCTGAATGTTCCAAAGTCATGCCTATACATCTTATATCTATGTACGAGAAAGTGAAGAAATTGACTGAAATATCTGAAAATAGGAATTAGGTCATCAAATATGAAAGTAGTTTCAGTCTTTAACTGTAAAGTAAGATGTTTCACGATACTTAATTCGAAAATAACTATTATAGCACAGTCAAAACGTTAAGAACATGAAATCGCAGATTAGGAAGATTTTCCGACTCCTATAACTTACAAAAGTAGTTTTGAAGGACGTTCCCTTAGGGTCTAGAAAATCCATTTTCAGATCACTGTTCGCTACTTTTTGTTGTCACGTATGTTCTACATAAAGTTATTGGGATTCGTTGTGAAACTACTGCATTTGTGGACGATAACTTGCTCATATGTTTCATTTAGGATGTCCGTCTCTTGAAGAAACACAATTTGCAAATTAGTGCAAAGGTGCAAATATGAGTTGGCCAGAAATGGGGTAACTTATATGTAATTAGAGGCAGTAGAGGGTTAAATACTTATTATAGTCTGCAAATATATCTTTATTTGAGATATGAGAATTTTTGGTCATAAATGGATATTTTTGGAAACATATTGAAAAACAAATTATGGGCATAAAATTCCTCACCAAATTAATCAGACTCCTTGAGAAAGTCTACTTTTATTGTATCCATTTGATGCAATGACACGCGCACCCCGTACGTCTACAAATGCTTCATGAGGATGGTGTCTTATGGGTAGTAGCTTCATCACTCAAAAATAACTTTAATAGAATGAAAATCAACTCGTTTGTTGGCAATGTGTGGGCATCTTGAAATTTATCGATTGGCCCACCCGCAACATCGGTAGACGTTGCTAGAAATGTTCTGTTTGGCACCCGATAGGCTCCCAGCGTTGCTGGCAAATTTTGACTCCCAAGTTTACCACCACGAAAGGTCACATCCACGGCGCTCGGAAGTATTCTTAAATTACTTCAGGTGTTCGCCGCATGTGGAGTATGCGTCGGATAGGAAAACTCATTAGGATGGGAATGTACGAGGATTTAATTTTGCCGGGCATTACACAGGGTTATATTTACATGCCGCCACTTTAACACCATTTAGGTCTTTATTAACATGAAACATTGGTGAAAATATACAACTGAAGCATGCCATTGACCTGCGATGTTCTTCCACCCTTCAAAATCATAGATACTTATTGGATATACTCGTTACAGTATTTGTGCATGAAGCCGAGATGTTTCAGAAACGACGGTGTTGTTAATCAAAAACTGAAAATTAGAAATTTGTCGTTCATTTGAATATGCTTACAGTTTGCCAAGGCTGAGTGAGTGTTAGTAAAAAATGTAATCCGTTTATGTTAGTAGTAATTAGTAATCATGAGGAACTAAACAAACTGCCTGTGGAATCTTGCTTAATTTCTCTGGAGACTCTACATGCAAGCGCGGGGCATTGGCAGCATCGGCTCTATTAGTTTTCACGAATGCAGACGATAACTTCAATTTAAGTTTTTTCTCGTGCAGCAAACAGTGCAGATAAACGATTCAGGGAAGTTCTACAAAAATCTAAAAATCTTGTCCGACCTCTCTAAAAGATTTTTTTCCCTACAACTGCACAAAAATCTTTTTACTTATTCTAATATCACGTAATCTCCAGAACACCTTGAATTGAAATGTGCTTGGAAAGATAGGTAATGGGGTCACCCTTGATTTTCGCTGAACTCTCATATACCCTATATACTCTCATATACCTGATAGATTTTGAATGAAATTTTAAAAAATGGTCACATTAGTCGTGCAGAGATCACCATATCTAATTAATATAGGAATATTATTTTTAAATATTAAAATATTATTTTTTAATTTATATAACTTAAAATATAATACGAAATTGATGTTCAGAAGCTAAGCGAAAGGTCGAGTCAGCATTATCTCAATATTACGTAAGACGGACGGACGTAGGTGAACCCGATCATGATAATGATCGTCCCTCCCTTGAAACACACACACACACACACACACATACTTGTATGAGTATTTTAGGAGTGTACCATAGGTAAGAATGATATTAAGGAATTTCTGCATTTATCATATATTGACATTTGTGTCTGTGTTTTATTTTAGCTTCAAAATGTCAAAATTCTCCGAGTTATGTAATAGAAAAATGTTGGCTTTTTAAACCCATTTTGACTTTAAGGCGTCGCAATAATCTGCAGGTTTGAAAATGAAGAAAAGGGATATATGTAAGGTTGCCAGATGTTCACTATTTGAGTTTCTCTACACTATTTCACTATTTAGATTATTGGTTCACTATTTTAAGAATTGAAGTAGTGGATACGAAATTATTTTTTATGAGTGAGTTATTTCAGGGGTTGATTATGACAGGTTTACAATTGCAAATTGAGCGTACTTTGCAATGCTGGCTATCCAGGATATTAAACCGGAGCCTAACATAAAGCTCGCGATTGCTTTGAATTCAATGAGAGATCAATGTGATCTAATTTGGTAATTTTAATGATATGATTTGATATTAATGTTAATAATTATGTATTATATTTGTGGTATCTTTCCTCCCCTCTTCTACTTGTTTTCTACATTCTGAAAATACCTCTCGGAAGGCTGGGTTTATGGATTTGCTTCGTTTCGTGGACGATTTTGCGGCCAGAGAGTCAAGCTAGTTTTCCTCCTGGCTTTGC